ACAAGAGGTGTGTCTTAGGCACCACCTACTGAGCAATTCGCTCACCCCTTTTATATTAACATTTTTCAGGACACGACAAGGAGTTGGCGGATGATAATCTACCACAGGCTTGAGATCACTTAAAGGACATTTTGAAAGTATTTGAGAAGCTTGAGTTTATTTTGTATAGTAGCATGATAAAGATTGTACTAAGTTTGTTTGGCATGTATATCATGATTATAACTTGAAGCTTGGATCCATTTTGTTGTAAATTAAGACAATGGTAAAGACTATGTATAAACTCCATGTAATTAAATATTATGACATTGTAATCATGATCAAGTGTTGGTACTCATGTCCATGATTGTTGAATTACCCATTTTTAAATGTTTGGGATACGTTTAATCCATTTCAAAGTCCCCATTTCAGTTTCTCCTTCATCTCCAAAGTACAGCACTTCAGTTTCAGGATCAAGGCTCGAAGAAGCCATTTCGGTTCCACCGGAATGGCGCATCGGTCGACCGAACCAATTGCATGCTCTCGGGATCTTGGGTTTCGGCCGACCGAAACAGCACTTCGATCAGTCGAAGTAGGGGAGCTCATTTCAGCCGACCGAAGCTCCACTTCGATCGACCGAAATGAAGTTGTTTGGCCATTCTCCATCTTTTTCCTCCGGCATTTATCACGCTAAATGTTAAAATGTGTTTTAAGACTTCCTAAAGGTATAGTTCAAGTGTAATGATAATGCTTTGACTCTAGAAATGTCGAGTTTGACGTAAGTGACCTCGGGTTCGAGTAAGGACCCGGCTAACGGTTCGGGCCTCCGGGTCCGAGGTGTTACATTGACAATGTGGCTCAGACCTTTGGCTGTCCAGAATTGGTGAAGGATGTTGTAAAACTTTATCCATATGGGAATGCATCCAATGTTGTGTGGCTGAGATTGAGGTTGTTGACTCCATTTCATAAGTGAGAAGGGGTGCCTTATGCCCTCTTTGATTGGTTGTGGCCCACCTGTGGTGGTGGTGGTGGTGGTGGTTGATCAGTGTCTGGTGATTGAACATGATGTTACTTCTGTGCTTTGAGCTCAGCCAACTCACTTCTCAACTCAAAGACAGTCTTTTTGAGAGTATTGTGCATGTCCATGGCTCTCCCGAGGTTCTCATATTTTCATTCAAGTTGCTCTTGCAACCTATCAATCTGGTGCGCTGGGGAGGAGTAGAGAAAAGGGTTAAAGGTCTTAGGTAAGAGAGGGTTGACAAGAGGGGTATTGGGAGAGGTTTGATGTGTATAATGTTAAGGTGAGGTAGTGATGCAGTGTGTGTCATTTGAAAGTATCCTTATAGGGTTAATGGTGGATTCAGGGAAGTGAATGTGAGGCTGACCAGAGAATGAAGATGGGATTGGTGGGTGATAGATTTGTGTAAGTAAGGAAGTAGTGGGGGATTTTTTAAGTAAGGTTTTTTGATTAATCTGTTTGGGAGGTTTATGCTGATAAGGGATATGAGCTGTTATGTGTTTGTTGTTGTTAAGTAGGATGTTATTTGGTGAGGTAGTTACATGTAATACCCCTAATTTTAAAAGGACAATTCTGGAATTTAATTATTGTATTTAATTGCATTTTATTTGATTAGGTGTCATTATTTTTAAATTATTTGTTTGTTTGTTGTATTTAAATTACTTGTGGGTTATTTTATTTAATTGTGTTTTATTTTAATTAATTGGATTTTGTTTTTCTTTAGTGACTTAATTGTTTTAAATAAAACTGTTTTATGTTAATTGGTTATTTAATTATGTTTCTTAAGTTTGGTTATTTATGTGCTTAGGTGAATTAACTGTTTAAGAATTTAGGGTTTTGGTTTTAGCCGACAAAGGTTATAACTTAGGTTTTCTTGGGCCGACTAAGAGTTGCATTAGGGCTCTAATTGTACAAGGATTAGGGTTGGAGTATTAAGCCTATAAATATAATCTTATGTGGGTTTAAGGGTTTTAGAAAATACAAAACTCTGTTCACGATACAGATAGAGCAACAGAGAGCAAGAAAGAGAGATGGGAGAGGAAGGCTAGGTTGGACCAAGAAGGAGGAAGGAGAGGTTGCTCATAGGTGAAACCAATAGCAACAGAGCTGGAACTACAGTCTAGGATATTAACAGAGCATTCAGAGACAGAGGATTACAGTTTCAAAATCTGGAATTGCAGGCAAGTTTCTGTTCTTTTCTTTCCCGTTAATTTCTGTGCATGTCTAGTTAGACTCCAGGGTTTTATTAGAGGCTAAAATGGATTGAAACAAACATAATTACATGTCTTCTGTGCATATATAAATTTATTTGATCTCATTGTATTAACTGTTTTTCATAATCATGGAAATTCTGTAATATATTCCTTCTATGTTTACAATTAAGCATTGTTCTAATTGAGCTTAGTATTATAATTAGATGCCTCGTAATTTATCTAGGACTGAGTTTGAACTCTAAATCAAGTCCATAGAACAGTATTTAATTGCACAAAATTAATTGGAATTAAATCTGTAAAAACTTGCTTAAAAATTTCTAGCAGAGGTTCTGTGTTCGTGGCTTTAAAAATAAGATCCTATACATGTTAGGATTGGATCTAAGAGATTTAAGATGAACCTAGGACTGAGTTGGAGCTTAGAACAAGGATTAAAAACATCACAGAGGGTTCTGCAAATCACCGGAATTGAAGCAGTTGAAGCTAAAACGAACGAGGGCTGCTAAGAGGAATAAGAGAAGGCTCCAAACCTCTTAGAGCTGGCTCCCAAAGGGGAGAGCCAGCTTTAGGTGTCATGGAGCCGGCTCTAAGATCCTAGAGCCGGCTCTAGGTTGAAAAATAGAGCAGGCTCCCATTTTAAGAGCCTGTTCTATCTTGAAATGCACTGTAACGTGGGTTTTTTTAAAACTGTTTGGTTTTTTTGGGTTTCTGCAATCAATTTAAATTGTTTAAATGATGTGTGGGACTGTATAAGGCTGGAATTATGATGAAAAATTATAAATTCACAATTGGATTGAGGAATAGAGCAAGCAAAACCCAAGAGGAAATTTGTAACTTGCTCACTGTTATGCTAATTTTATTTACTGGAATTTGGCAAGAGTTTTATATATAATCTAAATATATATAATCATATATTTTTCTTACAGTGTTCTAGGTATGGTGACTTAATTAAACTCAACTATACTTAGATTGTGTTTATTGGTACTTAAACCATTATGAAATTTTATCAATTCATGGACAATGTCGGAGGATCTGCTAGGTTTATATTTTGAAGCTTAGCAAGATTGTTATATATGGTTTAACTATAGATATAAATCATATTTCCATAGTATTATAGGTATAGGGAATTAACTAAAATTTCCTATGCTTAGCTTGGATGTAATTGATACTTAAAATCCTATTAGCAGTAAATTCCTGGACTGTGTTGGTGAATGTGATCGCTTAAATTTTTTGTATCAGTTGACATTATTGGATTTAGATTTTTGGGCTCTATAATGAATGCCTAACATTTATGTACATGCATTAAATTTATCTTGTGCATATTCTGAAGTATGGTTGATGACTATTTAATATTGTTTTGTCAACTGTGTTCACTGGAGGATTGTATGTATCGGTATGGGACAGTGACATACTAGGTATGGACTAGTTCAAACACTATGTTTTACCTAACTTGGATTAAGGTATGGATTAATCATAAAGGTTAAGTCCATCACCTACATGTGTCATATCAATTGTGAATTGAATGACCTACTATGATTTTAGGATGGATTTGTTATATATATATCAGACCACCACACAGATGGATGGTATTTTGTATTAGGAGGAGTACGGACTTTATATATATATTATATGGTGCCGTGGTATGAGTTTGAGTCTCATGACCACGGTTAGGGCGCGTATATCTCCTAGGATGGATAACTGGACATAGGTGTTGTTCCCTTGTAGGTCTAGGTACTCATGCCCACCCTCAGGTGCGTATTTGCATGTTGCCTCCTATTCAGGCTGAGACAGACCTACTGGACTAGCGAGCGTCCTATAGTGTGTACTATATATACATCTATGGACTATTGTAGATATTGTTGAGTCTTCCTAGAATGTATCTGCGTATCGGATTACTGTTTGGATCGTAGTAGAATAGGACTTGCATGTGGGCCTGACCCACTCCTTTATTTTTCAGGTGTTCATCAGTTCCAGGGTTAAAGCTTGGACGAGCAGAGCAGATATAGACTTCCACTCTACCGATGACGTAGAATTTCTTTCTAGATGTTCGATTTGGATTTTATTTTCAGTTTTTACTTTCATTTCAGTTTGGAGTTTCAGTAGGGGTCCACTAGAGTTGGGTTCCCGAGTTGTATGGATTGGAGGAGTTTGAATAAGTTGGTGTTTAATTAGTTTAAGTTGAGGATTTTTTTTTTAATTTAGTATTCTTTCAGTTTTTAATTTTTATTTCTTATTCACTTTGTATTCCGTGTTCGATTTAAAATAATTTAATTGTTTGATATCCCTCGAATTTGAACTCGGACCTAATCAACCAGCGTCTTGGTTCCGAAAGTATCACACTATATTGTAGATGGGTTGTTTCAATGGTTTGAAAGGGGGTTTGAGGTGATTGGCAATGGGGTTGGCCGTTGATGGAGGTTTATGGTGGATTGAAGCTTTTGGTTTACAGAGAGTCAATCATTCAGCCTTAAAATAATTTACATAATCTGTCTTCATGAGTCATTTTCAGATTATTTTTAATTTTTTTTCTTCTAAACGACATGATACAATGGCATGGATATCGGTGATGGTGGTGTGCAACTGTTCTTATGAGTTGCGACAGTTCAAAGATTAAAGTCGGACTTTAATATTAATTATAACTGAATATTTATTTTTAGTAGTAAAATTTAAACTATAGAATAGAATTGATTTACATGGATAAATCCAAACTTCTAACACCAACCATCCAACTTCTCACAAAATTATTTTCTTTTATATACTCAAGGAATATATAACCCACAAAGCTCTCACTTTAAGATAAATAGAAAGTACTAGCAAATTTTGCATCTCAATTCCCAACTCATTTTCTTTAATGAATACTGAATATTACCTGTAAATTAGAATATCCATTACTACGTCAAATTTATACTCTAATATAGAATAGCCATTTCTACGTCAAATTTATATTTTGATAAAAATGCAGAATATTACATAATAAATTATACTATACTGCATCCCATAATCAAGAAGACATGCCCATTGACCTGCCCATAGTTTTCTGCAGCTGATATATGATTGATTATGCAAGTCTATATTCATACATATGCATATTTGTAACTTCCAAAGTACATATATCTGAACAATTTTTTCAGTTCCAAATACTCCTACTTTAATGTTGCAAAAGAATGTCACTTTTCTTACGGGTAATGCAATTCAAAAGATCAAATTTTTATACTCTTTCTCATCCACATGTACAAACCCATCCCAATCTTCTACTTCAACTTCCAAAACCAGCGAAATCCGTAGAAGAAACAATGTTAAGGGTTGTCCAAACAGATTTGAATATTACGTGAGAGATCAGTGCAGATCAGGTAGGATTAAACTCAATGATGCCGTACAGTACTTTGACAAATTGATTCAAACGCAACCAATGCCATCAATCGATACATTTAATCATCTATTGGGTTCAATCTCCAAGCTCGGATGTTATTTGGATGTGTTTTCGCTATATAAGAAGATGGGTCTTGCAGGAATTGAGCCTGATTTGTGTACATTGAACACTTTGATCAATTGTTGTTGTCACTTGAAAAATGTCAATTCTGGGTTTGGTCTTTTTGGGGAGATTTTGAAGAGAGGTTTGAAGCCGGATCCAATGACCGTCAGTACTCTGGTTAAGGGTCTGTGTATGGAAGGTAGGGTTATGAATGCAGTCCAGTTGTTTGATGAAATGACTGAAAAGGGTGTCCAAGGAGATGTGTTCGCATATGGAATTCTTATTAATTGGCTTTGTAAAATCTGCGAGACGGGTCTTGCTCTTGAGATGCATAGGAAGATGTTAAAGACAAACTGCGAGGTGAATGTGTTTACATATAGTATGATCATTGATTCTCTTTGCAAGGATGGGTTGATAAGCGAGGCGATTGATATCTTCACAGAAATGATTGGCGGAGGAGTTTCTCCAGATGTTATTGTTTATAGTTCTTTGATTAATGGATTGTGTAGTGCAGGCCGGTTGAAGGAAGCTGTAAGTTTTTTCGATGAAATGGTTGGTCGAGGAATTCCTGCAGATGCAGTGACATATAATTCTTTGATTCATGGCTTTTGTCAGTTGGACTTGCGGAAGGAAGCTATAATAATTTTCAACCAAATGATTGCACAAGAAATTTCACCTGACGTTGTCACGTTCACAATATTGATAGATTGTCTCTGCAAAAAGGGTAAGGTAGGAGAAGCTTCCAAGTTATTAGGGCTGATGGTTCGGCTTGGAAAGGAGCCTAATGTATTCACTTACAATTCACTTATTTATGGTTTCTGTTTGTCGGGCAAGTTGGACGAGGCAGTAAAAATTTTCACATCTATAGCTATTAGAGGTGGCATGCACAATGTTACCACTTACAATATGTTGATTAATGGGTATTGCAAGAATTTGATGATGGATGATGCTATGAGACTCTTCAGGGAAATGCATCACAACAGCTTGAAGCCCACAAACGTTACTTACAACACACTGATAGGTGCACTCTGCCAGGCAGGGAAGATTAGAACTGCTCAGAATCTGTTCAAGGAGATGAAAAATTGTGGCTTGTCTCCTAATTTATGTACTTACTCTGTTCTGTTGGATGGGCTCTGCAAAAATGGACACATTGAAGAGGCATTGAATATATTTGAGTCTGCGAAATGTTTGGAGCTTGAATCTAGTATTGAAGTTCTCAGCATACTGATTTATGGTTTGTGCAGGGCTGGTAAACTGGAGAAAGCAAGAAAACAGTTGGATGACCTCTTAAAGAAAGGTTTGGTCCCTGACGCTGTGACATATAACATAATGATTAATGGACTTTGCAAGAAAGGGTTGGTATCGGAGGCCAATAAGTTGCTCTTGCAAATGGAAGAGAATGGTTGCCTACCAGACTCCATTTCATTCAATACCATCGTTCAGGGTTATCTTCGAGAAAATGAGATTGACAAGGCAATGCAGATTTTAGAGCAGATGTGCAATAAAAACTTCTTACCAAATGACGCAGTTACTTCAATGTTGCTAAACCTCGTCTTGGTGGATGAACAATGCCGCGTGACCGTTGAGTCACTTCCTAATTTTTCCCCGATGGCCTTGCTTCCTACGAGATTTGACAATGTGAAGCAAAAGGAAATGTAATAAATGAATGATTTTCTCACTGTATTTATCATTGAATTCGAATTCATTTCTACGCTATTTATGTCCGAAAAGCTAGTGTCTCACATCCGCTGTCTTTGTTGTGTACTAATCTCAACGAAACAAATATACTGAATGCTTTTGGCAATGCAATTGGACTTCTGTTCGGATTTTAGTTTCTATTGGCAAAATCTAATCCAGAATGCTGTTGAAGTCCTTTAATTACGAAATTAGAAGCTCAGGTATGAAAATCTCACTTGTCAGGCTGAGTATTCTTAGTTTCTACAAACCTCTGCTCAACTATAAAGATCACCTTCTATAAGTTATTGCCAGTTTGCCACTAAGTTATAGCTTCAACTTGAATTCATAAATTTGGTAACAACGAAGACGTGCCAGAGGAGGAGGAGAAATAATTAGGATGGAAGGTTTGATGAGATGGCCCTCCAAAGTCCAAACCCATTAAAAAAGAAATCTTTGGTTAGGTAGTATTTACAAGTGAGAAGAATAAAATGATGCTCATTTAAAAATTCTGCCATGTATTACTTTATATAATAAGTGGTATATTTTTTATAAAAAAAAATTATTTTTTAAATGTATATACACACTGTATATTTTCACCACATGCTTGTCATTTATCAAAATTTGTAAATATATTATATTAATTTTTGCAAATCCCAGGCTCAAAAGTTTAAAACTTTCTCCCTTTGTGCTTTTCACACGAGTCCCACTATAGGATAGACGCACAATTAGACTATATACTAGTACTATTTATTACTCCGTAGTAGCATTTTTCGATTTTTTTGTTTTTATTTATCAGTTTATTAGAAGTATAATTCGTCATTTTCTACTTATCAGTGACCGAAGTTACGTGATCGGAGAATACCAACAACAAACCCAACCCCCTAGAAAGATGGCTCTCAGATTGTGTTTTTATCCATATCCACCCCCTCTGCTTCTGCTTCTGCTGCTTCTTGTTCCTCTTATTTTCCTATCTAACTTCCCTGTAATCTTAGCCCACAACGATGAAGACCCAACAATCAAAACTATGGAGGCTTTCTCTGGGTATCCGATTCACGAACCCCACTTGCCCAACTCTCTATCTTCACTATCAGTGGATGCCCAAAGTTTGCAGAAACAGGTATTCAACCCAGTTTTCAATGCCCGTTGATCGATTAGTATAGCTTTGCCTTCGTATGTGTACTGATTATGTAACAGTAATTACATAAGCATCTCAGAGCTCTATTGATTAATTTTTTAATCTGAGCAGTTTAAATCGATGATTTATGAACTAGGTGTTTTATTTATTTATTAATTGTCGACTCTGATTACTACTCTGGGCAGTGTAAATCGATGATTTATGAACTGGGTATTTTTTGTATTTGTGCAATGTTTCGCAATCGGTTGTTTTGATGCCTCTTGGATGTTGAATGAATGACTTGTGCTTTACTGAGGGTATGACTGGATTTATTTGTTTTTGAGCGTTATTTGTAAAAAAAAGTGTCACATTTTTCCTCCCCTTCAGCAAAGCACGAGCTATATGAGTATAGCTCGAAGTCACAATTTTTTTTTTTTGAAAAGTGTAGCTCGAAGTCACATTGGGTGGGTGGGGGAGGACATTTACGGGCTATTTATAGGTTTATTTAATTTTCTCACCAATATATTCTAAATAAGAGCTTTTGTCAAATGTAGTTTATAGTTTAATTTATTTATTTATTACTGGTAATGCTTCACATTTGTAAGCAATTCCGTTTGTATAGTGTTTTTCTTTTTTGAATACGCGATGGACTGGTGCAATTTCTAAAAGACATCCAACCACCAGCTGACGCGGTAACCATGATTGTTGTTGTAATGCCATGAAGCATGTAATGGGGAATTGCATTCGCCCTCAAAGCATTGTATGTGTTTTACTTCTCATTGTCAGAAATTATTTTCTAATATGTTATCTTTTAGATTGATGAGCTGTCAACTTTCTCGGATACACCTGCCCCTTCAGTAACTAGGATCCTGTACAGCGAGAAGGATGTATTGGCTAGGAGGTATGCACAGCCATTTATCTGTTTTGATGTACTTTTGTATGATAATGCAACTATAATGCTGCTGATTAAGGGAATAAGAGTAGACAAACATGATAAAAGTTAAGGGCTCCTAATTACATCACTACCTGTCATTGTTCTTGCATCTGCATGAATGTAAGCTTAAGAAAATTGTGTCATTGTCTGGCCATACTGATAGAAGTAAAACTTGGATAGTTTATCTATCAAAGAAAGAAAAATAACAAAATATAATTGTCTAGTAGATTCCTGTAGAAGGTTGAGAATCCTAATAATTAAGGCAGTCCACGCCCAACATGCTCCCAGAATGACAAAGAATAACATGATTACTTAGAAGCCTATCGAGAATATGGCTCTATATAGAACAAAATGACAAAGAATGGTTGTTATAGCCAGCCTCAGAGAGTTAAGATTTCTGATTTTTTTGAGCTGAGTATTTCTATAATGATTTCTTTATTTCATTTCATTAAAAATGTCTACTCCTTTTTTTTTTCTTTTTTCTTTTTTTTTTTTTTAAATTTCAAACACACACACACACACAGAGCACTCGATGTTGTGGTATTATTCTCTTCAACTGCCAAGGAAAATCTTTTGTTCTGTTACTAACGCCCTTTCTGTTTAATATTGAGATATTGACTGATTCCAAGTTATGCTACAACTGAAGAAGTTGGATTTACGCATGCTTTTCTTTGCAACATTTTATTTTGTTACACTTCTTGGCTGTCTTCATATTGGGACATTGTTGGTTTAATTTGCAGGTATGTCAAAAGTTTGATGGAGCTTTCTGGTCTCTTTGTCAAAGAGGATGCTGTTGGTAATATATTTGGTCGTTGGTGAGTTTATGTCAACAGAAGCAAATTATAACTGCTTGTTTAACATCCCTTCCCGGAGTTGGAGTTATAACTGTACCCATGTGCCTTCCCTTATTTTACTTTTCATAGTGAACACAAATGTGCTCTCCGAATCAACAATTGAACATTAAGAAATTTACCAGCAGCAAAAGGATATAGATTTTGAATTTACTCAGTGATAGCAGAGATGACAAGGCATCAACCCTCATTTAGACAGGCTGCTCTATTTTGAAACCCAAGTACCACCTACCTCAAACCAATGAAAATTGAACCCCCAATACATTATCCATTTTGTCATTGACGTTACACTTGTAATGTCCAACCTAGGAGATTGGATATATTGAGTTGCACAAGATCTTACTTATTTTTGCTGAATCCTTGGGGTCCTTCCCTTGTTTGAGTGCATCTTTTGCTTGCTTGCTTTCACTATGAACAATTGAACATACAAGAGAGTAACAAAAATTCTATTACTTGGTGCTGGTACCACCTTTGCAGGATTGTGGGAGGGGTGGACTTGACACTGACCTAACTGTTGGTATTATTTCACAAAAAGTTGCTCCTCTCCCAGCTCTATGAGTCCTAACATAAGAATCCAGTATCTTATTTTTTTTCTCCTTCAATTTTATGTTTCTATGATCCAGCCTAATAGACCTTATAGGAAGTGTGTTGCAAGACCTATAGATTTCAGTAAAATGTTATAATGGCTCCCTCACTATGAAGGCCATTTTGGCTGCAGGTCATGTAATACCTGAGTTAGGTTTGCCCAAGTTTAATCATGGTTAACCTTTATTAGATACTATATGGACACAAAGTTTTTTTGAGTTTCTTGTTCATGAAATACTGCTTACATTATCATATATTTGTAGATTATGGCTATATAAAATGTCATATGAATGGTTCTCTGCTTTTGGATGAACAATTCTATCGTTTGCTTTGTTCTATTCTCTATGAAAAGATGTTGTGCCGTTGACTTGTATGGTTTTCTTTGTCATCTTCTTATATACTCTTATCATTCATAAGATTGTTATTTTTCAAGACTGTTTGTTGTAAATTTTCACAACCAGATAATTTCATGATTCTTTTGAGCTACTTGAGCCTTTTAAGTGTGTTATAACGTTCCTTTCTTACTTTTCTTGGGTTGACATTTGTCCAATACTTCATTTGTTAGTTTTTGCTCAACCGCTTCATCTCATTTGCTTTCTACAGGGATGGCTATGAACCAGATCTTGCTGCAGTTTCAACAGGATCTCATATTGATGCCATTCCATACTCTGGGAAATATGACGGAGTTGTGGGTGTTTTGGGTGCAATAGAAGCCATTAATGTACTCAAAAGGTATGCAAGTCCCTGACTATTTTAAATACTACTGTTTTAAATAGAAGCCATTAATGTGCTTATAGGTTCTCAAATACAAAGATTTAGCTTGGTTGATTTAGTGTTAAAATTCTCCTTTTACAAATCCATTCTATAAAAAATTTATATGAGTAATTCTATGCACTTGTAAATTCATAATATTGATCATTTACTTCAAGAAGCTTTTTTTTTTGTGATTTGCCAATATTAGTGTCAGAATTGAAAAGGACTAAACTGAAATCATCCTTCTTGCAAGCAAGAACTAACAAGGGGCATTGAAAGGTTACCAAGGTTGGTTGATCATACCGCACCTTGCCAATTGAAAACCAGTTGAACTGGCTTCTCGAAATTTCATACTTTTTTCCAATAGGTCTAAAACTGGTATAACTAGGACTCTAGGGGACACAACCTAACGTCCTCTTAATTTTATTAACATGGTCACGGGATTTTGGTGTTAATCTTATGTTTTGTGGGTCTTGAACATTGTGTCAAGATCTTAACTGTGCAAGTACAATGCGTATCTTTTAGGCAATTACCTCAGACCCAGATAAAGGTGGAGAATGTGTCAAGCAGATATGTAAACCTTTATTTGAATCTTAACTTAAATCATGAAAGTTAAAACTCTTACGCTATATAAACAGCATTTCATGAAATCATAGTTGGAAAGTTAGAATGGTGATGTTGAGATAGGTGGGTGACAACACAACACAACTCAACTCAACAAACCCTTCTTCCAACTACATGGTGTTGGCTAATGAATCCCCTATTTTCCCATTGTGCTCTATCCGAGGCCATAACCTTGTGAGTGAGAACAAACTAATTGCAAATTAACAACAAATATGTTCTTGACAAGATTGAGGTCGCAGTTGGCACCAGTTGAGGACAAGATGAGGCATAATTGTCTAAGATGGTTTGTTCATGTGCATCCAATGATTGCACTTGTACTTGGTGCTGATCTAATTCAATCTGAAGTCAATGTGAACGTAAGTGGAGGCCAAGCGAGAATGTGGTTTGAGTTGGTGAAATAATGCAAACGATTTTTGCTATTAAATAGAAGATATAGTCATAAATAGATGTGGATTATCATTAAGGAATTGTTGGGTCGTGTAGCCAACCTAACGCAGTGCGATTTTAGAATTTATTAAGCTAATAATCAGGCAAATGACCGTACTATAAAAATTATAGTTTTGAACGAAAGGCTATGCATTAATAAATATCTATTCACTTCCTGGAATATTAATGCACTCTCATATCATCTTCAGTTCTTTGAAATTGTAACTTAGCTGCCGATTTCAGTTCATATATTGCTGACTGGGAATTTTCACAGGTCTGGCTTTCAGCCTAAAAGGTCGCTGGAGGTTATCATGTTCACCTCAGAAGAGCCTACAAGGTTTGGGATCAGCTGCTTGGGAAGGTTAGGACCACCTATTGTTGCAATATTATAGCTTAATACACACATTTACCATTCTTTTATAATTTCAATTATTTTTTTCCCCTGAATGGAACAGAATTTTATTGAGGAAATATACAATACAGTACAAAACAAAAGAGGCACTTCTAAAGAGCAGCCACAAGCACAGCCAAAGGCATACCCCAGGCAACGAAAAAAGAAAGTCTACATAGTCCAAAACATAAAAGAAAAACTAGCCTCTCCAAACATAGAACAGGAATCAACTATAGAACGACCGAGAGACGAGAGACCCTCAAAACATGCATCTCAACATCTTGCATCTCACAGTGGAACCTCTAGCATTAACAATAAACCAAATGGCTTCTGAAAAAGATCCCACCTGAAGGAGACCCACCAGATGGGATCACTGAATAACCCAATTCCAGACGTGTGTAGCATATCCACAGGACCAGAATAGGTGATCAGTAGAGTCCTCGCCAGCAAAGCAATTGTGACATAAAATAGGAGTAGCAAAACCCCTAGACCTAAGATTAAAAAAGGTTGGAATGGAATTGTGTAAGATTAGGACAGACTGAACTGAAATCCTAGGCCTATAACAGTTCCAACCAAACTACACCAAAGCACCGTATCCCCATGAGATCTGCATAAGTTCCAGGCTGCCTTGAAGTAGAAAGAACCATGCTTCCAAGAAATCCGTTCTTCACCGTCAAAAGAATGAAACTGAGCCATAACATTAGCACTTTCTGCAGGCCAATTAGGTGGACAAGGCCAACCATTAGATGAGATGAAAACAGCAACAGAAGCAGAATGCTGAAAACCTGCAGAATACAGTCTTCTTATACCAAATTCTTGCTACACTGACTTGCCATTATACCAAGGGTCATAAACTAAACTGAAATTAGAGCCATTTCCCACCTTGAAAGAAACATTTTGCAACATAAACTCCCTCAGAGCTAAGATGTTCTTCCAAACAACAGAATCAGAACTTTTTGCATTTAAATTCATCTTTGTAATTTAAATAAATTACCTTCAGTCCTGTTTTATTGGAACTGCTTAAATCTTGCAAAGGGTAAATATAACCCAGTATCTAATTTGAGGTTTCTCATATATTACCGAAATGTGCAGCCGTTTATTGGCAGGAAGTGAGACACTGGAGAAGGCTCTCAAGAAGACAGTTGACACTCAAAATATATCCTTTTTTGATGCTGCAAGGTCTGCTGGTTATGCAAAGGATCTAGACACCTTATCCAGTGTCTTTCTAAAGAAAGGAAGCTATTCGGCTTTTGTGGAGCTGCACATAGAGCAAGGCCCTGTTCTGGAGGAAGAAGGTGGGCTGCCAGTGTTTTTTTTCCCTCTTAAATGATTTTCTTTTTCTTGTGACAGTGTTTGAACATCCATTTTTTTTCCTTTCTTTTTTAAAAAAATTTATATTCAAACTGATTCATTTTCCAATCCAGCTGTTTCTATTGGTATTGTGACTGCAATTGCTGCTCCTGCAAGCATTAAAGTTGATTTTGAAGGCAATGGAGGCCATGCAGGCGCTGTCCTAATGCCGAATAGGTGAAAGTTCCTGCAGGAATTACTAAAATATGCATCATATATTTCTTTAAATAATTATATTTTTTCTTTTTTTGGCTGGGCCTGTTCTATATCTTTGTTTTCTTGTATCTTTTATATGACTGATAGTTCAATTAGTACTTACTTGAACTAGACTGGTGCAAGGTGAAAGTTCCTACAAAAATTACTGACTTATACATCATATATTTCTTTAACTTTGTTTCTTGTATCTTTATCTTTATACATTTGATCATTTTACTTGAACTAACCTGGTGCAAGTCACTTATGTAAAGTCATTTCCCTTTCTGACTTGTTTTTGAAAGTTTTTTTTTTTATATATTTCTTTCAAGTTGAACACATTTGCTTCCTTTTCTTAGTGGTGTACTTGCTATGAATTAATAGATAAAATTGCAATACCCTTTTTATCCACTCTACTCCATTAGCTGTTAAAAGCTTGAAGCCTTTAAACATAGATCATGTTTACCATTATATTTTTTCCTTTTGTGCGATTTATACCTTTTATAAATCATTTGGAGCAGAAATGATGCAGGACTGGCTGCTGCTGAGTTAGCACTCACCGTGGAGAAACATGTACTAGAATCTGGATCTATTGACACTGTCGGTACTGTTGGTGAGACATTTACCATTTCCTAATAAGTCATAACTAACATAGAATTCCGGTTTTTCAGAATTTGGAATTTTCCATTTTGTATATAACCAATAATTTTCACTCCTGCTTTTCAAGGCATTCTGGATCTGCATCCTGGAGCAATCAACAGCATCCCAAGCAAATCACACTTGGAAATAGGTATGCTTCATATCGGTGAATCATATTTTTTGGAAAAGTTACATTCTATACCAAGTATACAGGGAATGTTTGATCCACAGTTCTTGCTTTTTGCTCTTTGGGTTGCTACTGATGCTAAGTTTGTTGTATTCACCTTATATATGGTATTACCAGCTGCAATAGCCCAGTGAATATATGCTACACCATATATATTTAATCAGTATTTTGTTTTTCGTTTTTCCTTTGAGCTGCAGATACACGAGACATTGATGAAAATCGAAGAAACATTGTAATTAAAAAAATTCATCAATCTGCTTTAACCATAGCCACAAACCGTGGTGTCAAGCTATCAGAATTTAACATTGTCAATCAGGATCCACCAGCCCTTTCTGAAGAATCAATAATCAAAGCAATGGAAGCTGCATCCCAAGAGCTAAACCTGACTCGCAAGTTGATGATTAGCAGAGCTTATCATGACTCACTGTTCATGGCAAGGTAAGTGAGTAATAGAAAGCTCTAAATTAAATATCTGTTAGAGAATCAAAAGCTGGGAAAGGAGGGAGAATGAGGGAGGATCTTAAATCCTTGAAACTTGGTCCCATAGAAGCACCCCAATTTTCATTTGAAGTGTCTTGTAAAAAGAAAAGTCAGTCTAATAATAAATAGTCTTAGAACATATACTCTATGAAATAATTATGAAAAAACTATACTCTATGAAATATAATGGGCATAATTTCAAAATTTTGGACTTAATAATTAGCCTTTAGATGATTTTTTTTTTTATAAAAAAAGTGAAGGCAATAAAATTCTCAGATCTTAATACCTGGACTAAGGGAGTCGTTACTCTTAAAAAAAGGGGTCGTTGCTTGGTGCACTAGTATTTGGGCTTCAAGTGTGATACTGTGATACAGCGCCGGTTAAAATCCTTAGTCACTTTGTGTAAATTATACCAAAAGTTAGATCTGTATCCAATCTGTCCCTCCCAACACCCTTTGATTGACGTGTACCACACTAGATAGTTAACCCTTTTTATATAGCTGCTGACCATGCAATATCACATCCTTGCAGAATATCTCCGATGGGCATGATATTCATTCCATGTTACAAAGGTATGAGCTCTCTTGGCCTATTTTTCTACAAATAACTCCACCTCTTTTAACTTTTATATAAACTAATGGTATTTTTCTTCAATTATTCCCTTTGAACTTGTAAAAGGTGCAAAATGCCAGGTTATACATTATTGAAACTGATTCAGGTTCATTATTGAGTTGCTTGATTAGCAAGTTGCATTGAGAGGAAAGAGAAAAAAAGGATTGCACCTTTTGCAGTCAAGCATGTGTAGTAATTATGTGAGCCATTTACAGATGCATTCTAAATTCATAATCATTTGACAACACTTGCAAGAACCAGTGCACATAATGAACATACGTCGGTACATAATGCAAACATAAAAATGCACACTGAATTAATTGTATGATTTTGCAAGAGTAGCTAGACCCAGTGGCACCCCTACATAAACCATCAGGAAACAGTAGTTGCACGTATATTAAGTTTTTTGGTAGCTTTACAAAATTAAGGCTTCAGAAATGACTTGTATACTTGCATCCATTTGGTTTTGCAGGATATAGCCATAAACCTGAAGAATTTTCCTCCATTGAGGATATTGCAAATGGGGTCAAGGTACTGGCTCTGACACTTGCCAAGTTGTCCCTGGTCTGAAGCCCTGAGAAGAATTATTGTCAAAGCTTTGCTTCTAATAGCTCAAACCTTTTAAAGACGATTGCTTCTAGTGGAACTCTCATGTAAAGTGTGGAAAAGAAAATCGGCGAATTATAGCATTCGAGATTTTAGTGTTTGCAAATTTTACTATGAACAATTGGTATCAATTGCAAATTTTACTATGAGCACCTGATATCATCATTCATTCTCAAAAATGCAACTAACGCAAACATAAGAACAGGGAATACTAATTAAACTGCAACAGTTTTACAGAAACTGCTAAATAGGGTGAGGTTGCCCCTATTATAGTGTGTTCCACATTTGTGTGTGTGTGAGAGAGAGAGAGAGAGAGAGAGAGAGAGAGAGCTCTAAAATGAATATGTATCTGTATTCCTGTATGGGTGTAGTTACATGGAAGGGGCGAAGTGCCAGAGTAGAATGGATGTCAACAGCACTTGAAAGGGAAAGAAACTATCTATAGTCTCAGTTCCATGATCATGCAATTCTAACACCTGCTGTAACTGGCTCTTACTAATCTACATAGCTAGTGTCATAGATTTCTCCTAAGTGTCGGCATACAAGAATACAAGCATTATACTGCAGGAATGAAATTCTTAAGTACTAATATATCCATTACTCCTTATCAGCAGAGCCTTCTTTGATACTTAGGTTCTTCAGCATATCGGCAGCATCCATAAGTTCGTCAGCAGCAACCTTGGAATCTTTAGCAGCAGCAGTCTCCTTTTCGGCTTTCTCAGTCCTCTCTAGTACAATCTCAATCTGTAAGTTTGATGAGAAAGGTCATTAATTATAAAGTCTGATGGTTAAATAGATATGTATATTCACGGAGACCAAGCCAACCTTAGCCTTCTGAACCCTGCGACCTTTAGCATCTTTAGCATCATCCTTCGGGCCAACAGTAGATGTCAAAACCTCTGTCGCATATCCAAGAAACAAAAATCATTCTACGGGCTATGAACATGATGTAAAAGGGATGTTAAACGAAGATGGATGTAGCTTCTCACTCTTTTGAATGGCCAGTCCATTGCTCTTCAGAATCTCAGCAATTAGAACTACAGTGGGAATTGCTGGAATAGACATACAACAGACGTTAGAGAAAGTGTTATGACATGCAAAGTGGCTAACGTGACAAGAAACCTCTCACAAATGTAGGACTCAATTTGGAGTACACTGCTAGTAAACATGAAACCCATGTCAATGCATTCTTTTCAATGATTCCTTAACAAGTACATGATTCCTGAGAACTCCTACTATGAATTTTAGATATAAAAAAACATAGTTAAATAATAAGACAGTAGTGATGAGGATTATTCCCAACAAAAGTTGAATTGTCAATTGTAAGAAGTTTTCTGTGAAAACAGGCAGGCTGCTGGAGCTCAATCATCTTAGTATAAACATTATTCCAACTAGTAACAACAACCATAACCATGATAGTGATGCATATTTAATTATTGGCATACCTGTTCCCAGAGCAGAGAGCTCGACTTCCTTGTGCTGCTTAAAAAACCTCTGCAATTCATAAATAGAAGATAACAAAATGGATCAGGAAAATACTCATTGCAACTTGAAAGACTCAACTAAGTGCTGGCAATTTTCATATCATTTACTGCAAACAGAATTACAATTGGACTGGAAACACAGCAAGACAAATTCCAAATACAATTCAAGAATGCACTCTCAATAATAAATTGAATCAAAACCACAGAAATACAAAATCCACCATTGGGCAGAATCCATCACCTTCAAATGAAAAATTCAAGAATAAAGAGAAGAGACTTCGCAAATTCCATCATTTTCTATAAGTTGAACAATGTAATCAGACAATATTTAAGAAGGCAATACTCTGGATTATAAGGCTTGCATAAGAAAATACACAATTCAGCTCCAACTGAAGAAATTAACAATAAACTTATTTAAACAGTTGGAAAAATGATATTGCAGCTTCCCAAGCAACTGAATCTAAATACAGACCTAAATTATCATGAAAATTTGCAGCCAAATCAACCAGATCACCATTCAAATAGTACGTAACAATAAAACATAAGAATAAACAGAAAACCTATTTCAACTGTATCTCAAGAAAAAAACACTTAACTAGGGAATTTTTTTTTTTTTTTCATTGGTTTAATTAAGGATTTCACTACTGCATCAAAACATACAACCAGATCTGATTCATTAAAATTTACCCTAACTAGATCAAGAAATCATAAACTATCAACTATGTGCTCAGAAAATATACGAGTAAGGACTCAATCAAACCACTGCCAATATTTCATGTTATCTGCCCAAACAGGTAAATATCTTCGTTATTCAACAAAATTGAACAAATGAACATGATAAAGCAAATGTTTACATATTGAGAATAACACAAGCCAAAGAAAAGGGGGGAATGAGAAGTGCCAGTATAATTGAATAATCAGGATTGCTTCAAATATTAGAAATTATAATCAAACCAAATTGAACAAATGAACATGATAAATAGTCAATCATTCAGCTCCAAGTTAAATTAACTTGAAAACATTTGATTAATGCAGTTGATAACAGCCATTACATTTCCCCACACCAAAGAACCGTAAATTATCCACATCAAGATTGAAGTAATCAGTAAAATATCAAACTAAAGAACAAAGGGAACAGAGTTCTACAGATTTTCAGTTCAAAAAACTCGGTAAAGATTACAATATAACATTAAAAAATCCACTTGGACTTAATTGATTAAAATCGTGTCCTTAAGCCATCACATATTATAAACAACAATCAAAAGCATAACCTAAATTATCATAAATCTTAACAACAATATCAAGAATGTGTAATCACAAACTACATCGACCATCAGATCAAGCAAAAACACAAAGATTTACAGAAATCAAAAACCCTAAAAATCAAGACCAATTACGATATCAGAACCACAAACAAAGATACATTATCATACATGATATCAACGAAATAACATTAGAGTCTGAAGGAACACATAACAGAATGAATCGAAGAGCAAAGCAGAACAAAGAAACCCTCATTTTCCGCGTAAATGGAAACCCTAATTCGATGAAAAATTTAAGAGAGGAAAAGAGGGGAAAACCTTGGCGAGATTGAGGTAAAAGAAGAGGGGCTTCTTGCTGCTGGAGACTTGAATTCTGTTCTTCTTCTGAGTCTCAGCCTTGGTCTCTGCAACCTTCTTCTTCGAAGCGTTTTCAATGGTGTTGGTGGTGTCTGCAAGAACAGTCGTCTCCATGATTCTCTCTCTCTCTCTCTCTCTCTCTACAACAGAAGCCGCTTCGGAAATGGACGTAAACGATTCTGGACCGGTTTACAATATATATAGGCCGATGGTGTAAAGCTGTTTCTTGGCAGTTATAATTGAAACGGAATCAGGTAGTTATTTGATATGTTAAATGACGGATTTGTCCTTGATTAATGATGAGTTGCAGTTAGTTCTGTTATTGGGCCCACAAAGAGCATGTGGGGTCCCGCTGATCAGATAATCAAGCACAGTATGCAGCATAATGCATGACTAGTGTGGTTTTGCATACTTACCAGATGATGAATGATCAGTGATTTTGAAGGTGGTGATGACTAATAAAGTGTTAAACAATGTGTTTCTGGGCCACATCACACCTGGGCTTAAACTCAATTGCTTGGTATGGACCCAAGTAGACAACCCAAAACCAGTCTAATTGAAAAGGGTTCTTGGGTATCATTTGAAGTTGAATAGTGGCATTCACAATTTACACAACTTTTGCAAGTATCGTGCACCTGCTTAGATATTATCTATTTTGCATTTTTTTTTTGTATTCACGAACCATTATCAAAATGTGTCTAGATAGTTATGAAATATCTAAACATATGAGTTATAGTTATGAATTAAATTTGCTTTTATACAGCTTAAAAGTGCTTTTATTTTAAAAAAGAATAGTGATACTCACACTTAATATTTCAGTGAATTGCCGAATGATTTTTGATCGGTTATTTATGCTAAATATAAGTAAGTGGAGGACCCACTTGCTTATTTGTTGCATAGTTCACTATAAGTAATCAGTGTAACAATCATTTTTCTTTGAAAAATTATGTTTAGATGTATTTAGTAATCATTATAAGTGATTTTAATGGTTACCAAATTTATTTCAGTAGAGCACTATAATTTTGAGCTTTTAAAACTTCGTTATGAATAGAGATTGAATATTTTAGGTAACTCATTTTTATTAAACAATTTTGTCCTTTTTATTTTTTTTAAAAGACAATTACACCACTTCCTTAATAAAATTACTATTATAAAATATGATAACATCATATTATTATGAAATATCCTAACATGCTTATTTTTATAGCAATTTTTTGATAGCTCTATTGATAACAATGTTTTTTTTTATTCCAGCAGCAACCCCAAATGGATTCTAAATCAGTATTAATTACTTTGTTTTGAGATTTCCATTTGTAGCAAAAATCTTCATTGAAATGCCTTATAAAATATGCATAGAGTTGCTCAAATTCAAGGAAGAAATTCAAACCAACCCTAAAGGCAATTTCCAAATTACATATAAATTACATACAAAGCGTAGGGTGGAAGAGATTATAATATCAATATGAGTACAACTAATCCTATAAATCAATTCTCAAACTATTATTATAGTCCGGTTGTTGTCGAGGAAAGTAGAAAGAAAATGAGGTATGTTGTAACAACCAATCTAACAATTAATCATTACAATTTCACCAGATTTGCTTTTCTTTGTCTTCTTCGATCTTCATATGGTCCATTAGTGGCTTTTATGTCGATAGATGATCTACTCTGTGAAGGATAAACCATTTCTCCAATTTTGATATCTTGCCTCCACATTTGAGGTTATAATTTTTTTATCAGTATTTCATTTTAACTCTATCTTTGTGATGATAATAGATAAATAATAATGTAATCTTGGGACTTACGTACACCACTCACGTTGTTTTTTTGAGGATTCAAATCCTCACTATCTATTTAAGGAGGCAGAAGAGATATTACTAGTCACCCATTGGAATTGAAAAATACAAGGAAAAATTATATTTTGGTAACCAAAATTAAACATAATTGTTCTATAGTTACCTTAAAATCAAGAAAAGGTGAATAGTGATCAATGTTGAAACTTAATTGATATTAAGTGACCATTTAATAGTTTATTACCTAAATAACCTTCTTATAATATATTATTATGTAAGTGGACAAATTTACCTTTTACGTTAACCTAAATAAACACTTACTTAAATTGATTAACAAAAAGACGATAAATTATTAGGATAAGTCTCTGAAGAGAAGACTAAGATGGGAGAGAACTGAGGATGAATGTCCTACATCGTTTTTTTCAAGGTTCTAAAAAGCAAGACAAGAAAATTGTAAATTTTCTTCTTATTCATTATTTTTAATGTATAGTTATTATACTTTACAAGTTAATTTGTCCGAAAGATCTTCCTTAAGATATAAGATTGTAATTTTTAAGAATTTTTTAATACTACTTAGTTATTATTTAAGAGATAATGACCATTGTTGATTAATTTTATAATTTTGCCAACTGTTAATGGGTGTTTCAAAAGTATAATTTACCATTGTAAATGTTATGAGCATTCATGATAGAGAGCCTTGAAAAATAGATAAATGGTGGAAAAGAGATAATGTTGATAAAGAAATCTTAATTTTTTAAATTGGAAATTTTAAACTAAAAAGAAAAAAGAAAATGTTAGATTAGAGAAAACATTGGATTAGAGAGAGAGAGAGAGAGTATGAGGATGAATTCAATGACTTATTATTTGTATTGGATGACAATTTTGTCATCTAAAAATTTATTTTGAAAATATTTATCAAATTTTTAAGTGAATTTTGTCATCTAAAACTTATTTTTAAAATGTTTATCAAATCTTTAAATGTTTTTGATCAAATTATTCCTAAATAGTTACTTAATATCAATTAAGTTTTAACATTGGTCATTATTCACCTTTTCTTAACTTGTCACTATAGAGCAATTATGTTTAATTTTGGTCACCAAAATATAATTTTTCCAAAATACAATAAAACGTTGTTAATTTCCTGCCACGTGTCGCAAGCTTCCGATGTTAGTACCTCTTCTTCAATACATTTAAGAGCACCTGATCCGAGAGAATCTCTTTTAGACACGAGGCATCTTTACCTAACGAAACAATCCAGGTTCTTATCCAAAAGGAGTTTAACACGATTTTAACCAGAGAATCGTCAGTTCCCACGGACCAATACAGGCGTGCATGACAGTCCCCTAACGACTTGTATAATTCAAAGAGATTCTAAATGACAACAATACCCTCACCAAACGCGAGTGCTCTACACGCCTTAAATAACGCAGTAGCCTTCCATCTCCGAGTCAACAACCAATCAACGGTAGTAACGACGCCACGTCACATAGTTTACGGTAACTTTTTCTTCTCTCTAAATCTCTCTCTCTCTCCTTTCTTCTCTTTCCTGTTTCAGGCACCGCACCTATCTGGATCCCAAGTCGCGATCCATGTAAGGTCGTCTAGGGCTTGAATTGAACCTCATCGTATATGTGTACATATATATATTATATAGGTCGATGTCGTCCATTAAAATGGAAGAGAGCTTCTTCGATTTGGTGGACTTTGTGAACAGACCAGCGGTGGTTGAAACATTCGTCGACATATTGCTATGCACAGTCCCGATTTGGCTCGCGGTCATGATCGGGCTCCTGATCGGGTGGTCCTGGAGGCCTCGGTGGACGGGTCTGGTCTTCCTCGGGCTCCGATCCAAGCTTCGATTCCTTTGGACGGCGCCGCCGGGGTTCGGGGCTCGGCGGCTCTGGTTTGCCTTCACGGCTCTCTCGGCATTCTCAGTTGGTCGGACGCTTTGGTCCAGGTTCAGAGGGAAGTACCAAAGCTCGGCTTCGGCGACGTCAGCTCCCGGTGAGGCTCCGTCGGTGGTCGGAAGTGGTGGCGACATTAAGTAAGTTTGGATTTTCAACTCATTTTGTATCTATATCTATTTCTAATTTACGATTTAGTTCATATGTATGTGTGTGTGTGTGTGTGTGTGTGTGTGTGTGTGTATGATTGAAGTGTATTTTTAAGATTGTTTTAGGGGCTTGTTACCAAATTCATTAGTCAATTTTATGGAATTAATGGTCGAAACAGGATATTTAAGTTTTTTCTTTTTCTATTAGATTTTTGTATAACTAGGGTAGAATGATAGAGATTGTGATTAAATTTTTTTTTTTTAAATAACCACATCTTACCTGATAGCGCAATTGAGGTTTGATGAATGTACTTTAGGTACAGATTCTTGGTGAAGTATGCGGGAACATTGATAGTAAATGATGTTGTTGAGGTGGATGGAATTTTGTCAATACTGTGTGTGTGTTTATTGGCTTTGTCAATAATCCAGGTAAGTCTGTGGTCATGTTACTCGGGCATTGGTTGATTTACTGTCCATCCCTATGCAATAATGTTGTTGGGGTGGTTCTAGATTTCTGAAGAACTTATGTTTGTGCAGAAGGGTTTATTGATAGTTAAAGTGGTTGTCTTTCGCAGTTATTGCATGGGTGATGTGTGGGGAAGATGAGCTACGGAAGAATTTTAGGATTATTTCTACTTTTCAGTCTTCAGTTATTTTCCAAAGCCATCTAGTTTCAAAGAGAGAGTTCTTGTTGCTTGGAGATTGAGTTTATTGGTGTTTCCCGTTGGTTACTAAATATGTTTTTCAAACATAACGGTTGTTTAGTGTTAACAATGTTAAGGAGAACCTCATTTATAACAGTGCAGATATATGCTTGAAAATCTATACTTCATATAGAACAAGTTGTTGAGGTGATTATAGATTTGTGAAGAACTTGTATTTGTGTGCATTGGCTCATTTGCTAGTTCAGACGGTTGCCTATTTGCAGTGTTGCATGGGCTGTGTGCATGTGAGATGATATATGGTAGAATATTGGAATAATTTCTACCTTTCACTCTTTAGATTTTTTCCCATCCCTAAAGATGTGTTTTTTAAAAGGGTGTGAAACTGTGGATTCCTTATGAGTTGCTGTAAGGGCATTTCCCATCATTTGCTATTTGATTCGAGATTTTTACACAACATTATTTAAACATTTTGATGTCCCAGTGATTAGGAGAACTTCATTTGAACAGTTGCATGTGCTTGAAAATCTGAACTCTGCGGAATGATAATGTGGGTGATGGCAGCTTTCGGATTTTGGCTGTAAGAATTTGAGGAGCAGTTCCTGATTATCATATTTTGTTGCTTTTGAAGAAGATAAAGGGTTGATTGACCTCAAGGAATTTCCATTTATAACATAATGGCTGTTGAAAAGTTAGATTATTATGAATTACAACTTAGACAGCAACTGTTCTTCAATTTTTGCTGCAAAATGTCGAAAAGGTTACTGATTAATGGTTACTCACTTATGAGGAAGATTAGCAGATTGGATAGCTCATTTACAATTTTCCTTAGGTTTAGTTACAGCTATATAAAACAATTATTGTTTTTTTTAGTTTGCTAAGTTGTTATGGTGTATGACTCTCTCCCATTTGTGCACTTCTGAGATAGGGTTGATTGGGTTTCTGTTTCATCCAAATTACCAATCAACCACTGTTTGATGCAGGATGGCTCTGATTGACGTGGCACAACTCCTAGGATTACCCTATTGAAATAAAAGAAAGAAATATATTGAGGTTCAGGCATCTCACCAACTGTAGTGTGTCTTATTACAAAAGGCACAAGAGGCAATTATATAATTCTCTAATTCTATCATTCCTGAAAGGGAAGTTACAAAAAGAAATGTTGCATTACCGTATATAGTCAAACAAAAAATGGCTTCTTAAAATCCAAGCATTTAGGAGCGCAAGTGCTTCACGAAGTTGGGGACCGTGTGGCATCCGTGTCAGTGATCCTGCCATAAGGGGGCATACAGAACACAAATGGTATAACATTTCTGGATTTTATTGCACGAAAAAGAAAATATAGCCTTGTAGAAGTAGAAAACTAGAATTACAATGATTTTCACAGGAGCATATTTCTTGTGCCCAAAGCTGGGATCCCTTCCAATCACTTCCTGCAGTCTTACCTCCCCCCCATCCCCCCACCCACCCACCCCTTCCTGCAGTCTTGCCTCCCCCCATCCCCCCACCCACCCCCTCCCTCCCTCCCTCCCTCTTTTCCATGTGGTAAATAATAAAAGCGTATTTTTGTCCTTTTTCGGTTGGCAAGCGTAATAAAGTAATTTCAAAGTCACAAAACACCCTTATGTGCACTTAGTTAAAGGTTGACGTTTGAAAAGCTCCCAGTGAGACCTGATTCTTCTCTGTTTAACCCGTGCCGCGAAAGGTGAGTTCTCTTTTCTGATACATTTGGCATGTCTGCCACTGAATTTCTTCATTCTTACAGTGACTTACTTAAATGAACTGGTAAACCACTTTGAGAGTTGTATGGGTAGAACCTAAAGGATTCTAAGATGCGATCACAAACGTTGGAGGAGTGAGTAGGTCGCTTTTAGTTCAACACTATAGGTTTCTCAGATGTGATCAGAAGAATCCTACGAGAGGTGAATAGGTCACATTTTGAATTTAATTGCTTGTATATATGTTATTCAATTTATCATAATTCATGCATCAACATACTTATAAAAGAAAATAATTCACGCATCAACGTTCATCAAGCAATTAAATAAAGCAAATCAAGAAAGAATAAAGAGAGAAACTGTTGTATTATAGTTGTGCAATAAATCATACTGTTTGACAAGCTGTCTATTGTAGTTGTTAAAGTGCTAAGATTACATAGCATGGGATTGTGTTTTCAATTCTTACCATAGTTCAAGAGAGTCAGAGAGCTTGTCTTGCATAGGGAATGTATTATTTTATTTAAAAGAACCACAAAAGTACAGAGAAACTTGATGGCATCCCCTCAATACAAATCAATGGAAATGAAAAAGACCATTTTCAATACGTCTATCTGATTTCTATAGAGCTGTTGTTTTTCCTTATTTTCATCTCATTGATTGTAACAAATTTATTTTTATTGCACTTGACCACCACATCTATATTATTGAAATTTTGAACTTTGATTTTTAGGCTTAATTGGTTTGTTGCCTCCACTTTGTTTGCAGGTCCAATGCAGAAGACTCTCAGACAGAGCAAAATATTGTCCTGGAGAATGATCTCGAACACCTATTGCAGCTTCTTGATGGAATGGGTGGGGAAGTAGGATGGCAAAGTCTGATGGATCGTGCTACCTCAAACATGGCATATCAAGCTTGGCGCCATGAGCCTGAGGTAGATTTTGATCTTCACTTTGATAGTAAATGTGTGTCTTTCATGTGCTGAAAGAGACCTTCAAGAAGACCACTACCCAGAGTTGGTCTTCGTTAATTGAGAGTAATGAGAGTCGTAGATGGGGTACAAAACTTATGTTTGGTAGTATTTGCTCCCTAGCTCCATTAAATCGAGTTTAGTTTCTAAATCTTTCTTTTTAACAAACTCCCCCCTCCTAGGGACCCCTCACTCTGGTACGTATCTTTATTTATTGACAGTGCCTGGTCCCTTTTCCCTGCTTATCTCTATCTCTCGTTAGCTCTTTGATAGCATCCAGACTGCCTCAGTTATAGGAAATCTGCAATAAAAAAGCCAGCAGTTCAAGACTACAGGGAAAACAATTCCCTTCCACTTCTTAATTAAGTTAATTCACTTACAGAAACTATTATAATGAGAGAAATTCCCATGTGTGGCATGAAATGCAGTAGTACTTACATTTTGCCTGTAGGAAAAATTGAACAATATTGTTTTTAGTCATAGCACTTGGTGGTTGGTTAGACAGTACCTATTTCTGACCTCTGAGCATATGACGGAACTTTCTTACTATGTACATAAGCAGGTCTGTGAATTACGTTCTTTTAAGTTTTTAAGATTTCCTTTTTATAAGAATTTATCATTTTTTAAATAATTTGGAAATTGCAAAATAACATAACAAGAATTTTTTTTATTAAAGTTCTGGAGTTGGCCTGCAAGTGGGCCATTTGGTTCAATGATGGCTGATATCTGGTTCTTTGCATGGTTTTCCTCTATTATGTCTATAATATTTTTTAACACTAAATCGAGAATCTTGTACACATATTTTCTTTAGGAACTCTCAAACTGTAAAGTTTCTGGTAGAAACCAGGTATTCCCTTCCATTCTCATTGTTGTTTGAAGATTGTATGCATTTATGCCTGTTTGTGGATCTGTTCCATCAGAATGCCCCCACAGTGTATCGTAGCAGAACTGTCTTTGAGGATGCAACGCCAGATCTTGTTAGAGACTTCTTCTGGGATGATGAGTTCCGACCTAAATGGGATCATATGCTTACTTACTCTAAAATATTGGAGGAGTTCCCTGATACAGGGACGACGATAGTCCAGTGGATAAAGAAGGTTTGTCAAATATTTGACCTGTATTAGTAAGTTTGTCTTTTGATTTTACTTGTTAAAACAAACTATAAATTGATACCTTGATTGTTCCTCCGATATGCAGTTTCCTTTTTTCTGCAGTGATCGAGAATATATAATTGGTCAAAGAATATGGGAAGCTGGAAAGACTTTTTATTGCGTGACGAAGGTACTAATTGCTTAAGAGATTCTTATTTGCTAAGCTTTTAGCTTTTCATTCTCCTCTAATGAACAACCTCCATACCTTTCTTTGGTTGGCACTTGGCACACTGAATTCTCAATAGATTGCACTGGATTGAGATGGCATTGATGACTAGAAACCCCTAAGGGTCCGTTTGGTTAGACGGAAACTAGTGGTGGAAAGTGAAAGTAAAAGAAAGTGAAGTGAAGTGAAAGAAAATTAAGTTTCCAACTTCAATTTGGTTAGCATGAAAAATTTTCAAGAAAATTATGTAAAATTACTATTTTATTGTTTGAATAGCATGTAAGTTACCATAAAAGAAAGGTTAATATTGTAAGTTTACAAAACTTTCTCAAGAAATCAAAATTTTCTTGTGTTTTTTGGAAGAAAATTTTGTAGGAAAATTAGGTAGTTATGGAAAGTAATTTTCCTCAAAATTTTCTTTTTCCTGCTAACCAAACTTCTAAAATATTTTTAAAAATTCCGTTTCCTTTCTTTTCTTGCTATTTCTGTCTAACCAAATGAAGCTTGTTGGTTGTTTAACATGAATTTCTTCCAAACCCAAATTGAAAAAAAAAAAAAAAAAAAAAAAAAAATTATATAAAGGAAAAGAAATAAAACATGATAAATTGAAATACTTACCTACTGTTAGTCTAATTTGTCGGCTCCATCACAGAAGTCTTAAGCAGTGTTATAGAATCTCCTTGACATCAATTTGAAGGTTAAAGGCTCCTTTATTCTTGCATTATTTCTCCCACTTGGCAAAAATTTTATGCTAAAGAAATTTATTTCTCAGCACCGCACTATTGCTATAAAATATTAAGATCTAAAATGGTTTAACACTTTTGCTGTGTGCATGAGAAGGTTTCCGCTATCACATGCCTACATTATTTGTGCACACTCCATTCTGCTATTCATTCATTTGCTGGAGTTTTCTTTGGACAACCATTTCCAAAATGTAGATATAATTCTGTTTTCTTTTTCACTTGCATTCCACATACCATGTGTACAAATTTGTATTGACATGCAACCTTCAATGTTGAAGGGGGTGCCATATCCAGGTCTGCAGAGGCGTGACAAGCCTAGACGTGTGGATCTTTATTTCTCAAGTTGGGTTATCAAGCCTGGTAAGCAATGTCAGATAACACTGTTAACACATGATGCCTGCAACACATTCATGTTACTTCTAGTTCTAGCTAAAATGCAAATTATGTAGTATCTTGATTGGTTTAATTTTGAAAAACGGATGTAGTGCAATCCCGTAAAGGAGATGGACAGTTGTCTGCCTGTGAGGTGACTCTTGTGCACTATGAGGACATGGGAATCCCCAAGGATGTGGCAAAGTTGGGTGTTCGTCATGGGATGTGGGGAACTGTTAAGAAGTTGCATTCTGGCTTTAGAGCATATCAGCATTCCAGGAAATCAGGGGTGTCATTGTCAAGAAGTGCAAAGATGGCAAGAATCACGACAAAGATTTCGTCTGATGAAAGTGTTGATTCTTCGGTGCCCATAACCGGTGAAGAAGATAAAGGTATAGCTGAGGATCTTCTGGACAGGGATCGTGGTGGCCTTGATTGGAAATGGTTAGTTATAGGTGGAACTGTGGCTCTCGTCTGTGGACTCCATTCAGGTGTAATCGGGAAAGCCTTGTTACTCGGGGCAGGGAAGAGAGTACTTCGGAGGTGAGGCTTGACTAGGTGACCGGATGTAGTAGAGTTGTACTTTGCTGTCCTGAGGATCTGCAAGAACCTCATTTACATGTTAAATTATTAATTCTTGGTAATATAGATATATTTAGTTCTTAATATTTTTTTGGACTGAATTGGCTCTCTGCCTCTCCCCCTAAACTATAAAATTCCTTTTGCCAATATCCTTCTCTGGGAAAAGATAATGGTAAGGCTCGCGGGCTCACATTTTCAGAATCAGATTCTCTTCTTGATACATGTGAAACACCTATTTTCAGAATCAGATTCTCCTCTTGATACACGTGAAACACCTATTATATTTTGAAACAGAACACGTGTGAAATCATTATATCGAGAATTCAACACATGCAAGACTGACATCAAGAATGTAGCACACACAACATTGCTATATAGAGCATTTTATGAGCGCATACTAAGAGTTCCAGTTCGTTCTTGGTGACTAGATTCTTTTTATAAACTTGCATTTTTCTTTTTTTTTTCTCCAACTGTGGTCTCATATGCCTTTATGCACTTATTCCATTTTCGCACCATCCTTTATGGGTATTGATTCCTTCTTCCTTCTTTTACAATTCTTTCTTCTTTTGCATTAGCTGGTGGATTGGATTCCCTTTTCTGTCTACACCCAAGATTTCTTTTACTCTTTATTTGGAATCCACCCAATTCGTAATATGCCTTTCATAATATCATTATCGTGGTTGTGTTAGTCAACTTAGTCCAATATGGGTAAGTCGGTTACATGAATTTTCAATATAATAATCTTTGTACTTGTTTTCGGAAATATTAAAATCATTGATGATCCTTTATTTTGAAGTTAGCACAGTATTGAGGGGCTCCTGCATTGGACCAGTAGACCAATCTTCTTTTTTGGGGTTGTTTTAGCTTTTCAACTTGGTGTACAGAGCTCAGACCTTCCCCTATTCCACATAGCTTTCATTAGTTTTGAATGAAATTTATCTTACTTACCCCAAAATAAAATAGAATAAAATAAAATTATCATTTCATTTTTTTTTTTTTAGCTCTCTTTCCCTCCATGTATCCTCTCAATCCAACCAGTTAATGCATCTCAATCCAAGTTTTTAATGCCAAATATTTAGAAGAACATTTTTTTTTTTTTATATTTTTTATGATGACAGGTGAGAGTGGCAGAATAAAAATTAAATGTGAGTTCACTTGACCTCATATTATTGATGGCTAGAGGGCGACAGAATGACCCAATGTGTCTATAGGTTAGTAATTCTTCCTTCTTTGGCCCCTCCAATTTTGACTTGAAGGAATAGAGTAAGGGCCAACCTCTAATAGTATTTATGAAGATTGGAATTTTTTCATAAAAAGGACAAATAAAAATAATTCATGTTTGTCGAATCTAAAAGACGTCCCTTTTGCATTCCAACATTTCACAGAGATATGCGGAGCCAATTAAGGCCTAGGGCAGGTGCCTCTGGACTTGTCAATTAATTAAATTTTGATCTCAGTCTTATTCGAAAACTATAATATAGATTGGAGATTTAATTTGATACACAGTTAATAATTGGTTAACTAAACAAATCGAATACGGATTGTAATCGATCTAATCTAACATAATATATTATATAATATGTTAAATATATGTAAACTAATTTTATGATATATAATATATACATATTATCAAAATATTCTAATCAAAGAAATATATATATCATTATTTTCTCCTCTTCTTTTCTCTCTCTCTATTTTTTTTACTCTTAAATGTTTATTCTTTTACTCCTAAAGAGTAAAATATATATATATATATATATATATATATATATATATATATATATATATATATATATTTCTTTTATATTTTATTTATTTTTTGTTCTTTTTTTTATCATTTTAAAACTAATCATTGTTTGGCATTATCTTTTCACATTAATTTCTTTTTAAAAACTACCCCCTCATCGGATATCTGTTTAATAACAAATCGAATATGAATTTATTTACAAAATATCCATCGAATTATCAAATCAAAAGAATAAGCTTATTGGATTCAAATCGGAATAGACCTAATCCAAACCGTTTACAAGTCTAGACGCCCCTTAACTTTATAAAAATGTAGGGAATTTTTTATTTGTAATTCTAAAAACAGTTTTTTATTTTCAGAAAACTAAAAATATAAAATTGTACAAAAAATTCTGTTTGGTTTAGTTTTCTAAAAACTCAGTTATAAAAATGTTTATTTTTAGATAATTGTCTTTTATAATTATTTGAAAACAGTTTTTTGTTCTTTGAATTCTTGAGAACTGTTTTCGGAGTTACAAACCAAGCAAGACCTTAACTTTTGCATGTATAAATTTTTAAATTGCCCTTTCAAAAAAAATTCTTTTTAAATTTTGTATACATAGAATTTTAAAATTCTAAGAGGGAATGACGAATACACTATAATACACACACATTTGTTTTATTTTGTATATAAATATATAAATATGAATTAAACTGAAAACAAATAAACCTGAACGATAAATGAAAGTATTTTAAAAAAAAAATCATACGTAGAGACGAATTTACTAACTAGGCTGAATCCCTGGCTCTGTCCTAGGGTCTAGGATCAGATTCTAGTGTTGGTCGAATGTCAACCATATAAAATAAATCTTACGAAAATTTGCAAAGTAATCTTTCTTTTAAAAATAAAAGATTATTAAAGTCCTATTAATGAACAAAACTAGTAGAATTTAGAATATAATTTTATATCTTAAAAGTTTCTTTATAATTTTTCATAATCTTATTGTCATTAGCATACCCGAAGTCACATAAAGTGAGAAAGGAAACGAGAGCGAATTCAAGAGTAAGAGTGTGAGAGTGGTATAATTAAATCATAAATAATAAAAATTTTAACAAAAATGCGCAAAACGTAAAAGTGATGCCTGTTAAAAATGATTATTTGACCGCATACCCACGTAATAACAAAACACTATGTTTTTTTAAAATAACTGTACACCTACTTCAAGTGAGCAAGTCAACAACCACACAATCTTTCCCATTTTGGTTACTACTATTAGTTTAAGGCACTCTTAACCATTTTGTAAAAGCTTGAAGATATTCTAACTTAATAGTTACTCTCCTATCAATTCATGTGATTTGTATACAAGAAAAGACTAGAATGGTCGATTAAATTATTCATGTTAGGCCATGTACAATGAAAATAGTCAAATACTTTTTAAAACAATTTCCTAATAATTGATGGTGTGATCTAACAAGTTGTCTCACCCTATTTTATGTCACCATTACCACCCAAATAATCCAAATTTGAATAAATTAATACCGATTCTCACATACAATTATCACAAAAAGTAATATAATATATATTTACAAGTCTAGGCGCCTCTTAACTTTTAAAAAATTTCATTTTGCAAGTATAAATTTTTAAATTGCCCCTTTAAAAAATTTTCTTTTTTCATTTTGTATCGGTAGAATTTTAAATTTCTAAGAGGGAATGACAAATACACTAGAATGTAAGATTATTTATTTAATTGTGGCCCACATGATTTGGACATGTGACATATTACTTGGTGGGTAAGTAAATAGATATCAATTAATATTATTTATTTTTGGTCAACTTATAATTACCTTTTTGGTAATTACTTATTGGAGAAGTGTTTTCCTTTCTTATTCCTTACTTTGATGGAAAGTAGAATTATGTTACTATAAGGAAAACTGGTCCTCTCTCTGCCTTTATAAAAGTGTATGTATTCCATCAATTATGTACAATTAATGAAACAACACGTAAAAGTTTTATGTGTGCAAAAGGCCAAAAGAGATAAACCAGTTTTCACTTTTGCCAGTTGATCAGAGTTGCAGATTAGTTCGTGGTCAAATGATCTGGACGTTGGATTTAATCTCAACAAGAATTAATATCGTGAATCGAGATATTTATATCTAACTAGTATTTATTTATGCATTATAGATATGTGAAAATCATGAAGTTCTAAGATATGGGATTCATGTAAATTTGTGATTAATGGCTTAACACGAATTATTATAGTTTACATGTGGTATCAGAGCTAACGGTTTAGGAACTCATTATTTTTCATTAAAATTGCATAAATAATATGTATAAATTTAAAATTAAATGATTGTATAATCCATTCTTTTAAAATCGTATGTTTAGATTAGTCCGTGTGGTTTTTGGGTTTGGGTACCTCAATTTCTGAGTCAAAATAAAATTATGAAAGCTGATTACTGATACATAGTTTACATATGTGTAATAGTACAAACGTATGCATAATGTGTGTAAGACATACAATTTCAATACTTTAGGTTACTGATTTTCGTGCATAACTAATAAAGAACATTGAATTAAAATAATAATAATAATAATAATAATAATAATAATAATAATAATAGCATTTGTCTTGCTATTGTTTTATAGAAACAGTCAGTTGTGAAAGGATTACAAAGACTCATTATTATTATTATTTAAAAATTAATAAATACATAAAGTTTGTGTATTTATTTATTTTATTAAAGAGGTTTAAGTTATTGTTATAAATATTTGTCCAATGATTTGAAGATTCTGATTTTAATTTAAAATAAATTAAAATTAAAGTTGTTGAATACATAAAATATATGTATTGATTTATTTATTTCAGGAATTTGAATTTCTAGAATAATTTGTGAGTTTAGAAATTTAATCTAATAAATTAGACATGCAAATAACTTGTTGTTTCGTACCCAAACATACATACATATTGTAGAATCAATTTAAAATTGATTCAATTATGATCTTTAAGTCAGAAAATAAAATAATATATTTTATTATGTATATAAAATAAAAAGATATTTTCTATAAAATTTCGGACTATTAAGTTTTTGAGATCGAAGTTGCTTAAACTTTAATCGACAATTATGAGTATGTGTGTATAATGTTAAATGGGTAAATTAATAATTAATTAATTACTAGTTAATTTAATATTCACATTATGTGTGGGTTAGTAGCTACCAAAGTGGCCTAACCATAATGGTCGATGAATATTAATTTTAATAGTAAATATAACTTAATGATGAATTAATTACTGTCCCATTTAATATTCATATTATGTAAAGATTGGTAACTACTAAAGTGGCCCAATCATAATGATTGATG